CAAGGGTCTGCAGGAGCTTGGGGAAGGAACTAGACAGGGAGTTGTTTCCCAGCCTTCTTAGCTCAAGACTTCTCATCTCAAAGGCTTTTTGCGGAACTCTCCAGTTCTTGGCCAGCATGCCACCTGACATCTGCCCTTGGCCATGTCCTAAATCCACTAGAGCTACTCTAAACATACACAAAGCTGTCTGCAAGCTGAGCAGTAATCTTTGGTTGCAATTCAAAGAAAGCTCTGTAACTATCCCCCTTCCCTCCCCGGGCCTGCATTCATCCTGTAAGACTACTCCTCTCTCCTGGACAAATCGACAAATCGTAGTCCTATCAGCAGTTTCTCCAAAGCTTCCAGGAACAGACCAGGTATGAGTATTATAAGAGCTTTCCCCCTCTCTCCAAGCTGGTGGACTGAGATGAGGAATCATGTTCTTATCAAAAGTTGCCAAGCAGTTAGCTGGGCCTTCCTCCAAGCTGCGTTCCCTCAACGTCCCAAAACCCCCCAAAGCAGCCTGGCTGTGTCTTACGCAATTATATTCAAATCCTACTCAGATAGAATCTGCACTGCTGCCCTTTTTTGGGACCCGACACTCATATGATCTCCTCTGTGCCTGCTGGAACTGTAGTCATATCTGATTTCCTGCAGTCAGTTTCCTCTGTCCTGATGCTGCATTTTCCTCTTGCACTTCAACTGTTTGTTGTAAACACAGAGAGCTGGTGAGATTGAGGCACCCCGTGTTAGGGGCTGTAAGTAACGGAACATGATCCACACTCATTCCTCATTTGAGTAACTGGCACGCCCAGAGCAAGAAATATCAACTTTTTAAAGAATCTCTTAATTCTGCAGTAGATACAATTTTTTTTAGAATATACATGAGGAGGAACAAAATTATGCCAGATTCCATTCCCCTAGAGCATGGAGAAGAATCTGTGAGGTTTTGTTTTGGGAAAAGGCCTGGCAGATATCAATGAGAAACCCTGCAATTTAAAGCAAGTTCAGTTTTTCTTCCAATGCTCGAGTGACAACAGAACGACAAAAGCAAACTTCAGTCCATTTTTCTCAACCCAGCAGGACAACGGCTCCCCAGGAAAGGAATTATCATCATGAATCAACTGTAAAACACACAACCATTTTAACTGACTGCAATAAGTAGCATTCATGCTGAGATGCGAGGTCACCCTGGACACTTGAAATCAAAGAATATAGATGAAGAGAAAGCTTCGATCCCAGCTGGATTTGAAAAGTTTCATGGTGAAGAGTGGATAAACTGGGGAATTCCCGGAGGTCAACGTTTGAGGTTTCTTTGCAAATCTGAGTGGATATAATTTTAGATCTAAATGGAAACCAACATATTGAAGATACGAAACAAATCAGTCAATTATAAGGTCCTAAAGATAAAAAGCAAAGCAATCCACTCGAATTTGTGTGATACATTATTTGGTTGGGAACATTTTAAATCTTCTCTATACCTTTAAAAAATGTCTTAATTGCTTTACTTTATAAAAATAAATGATCCCAGTTGAAAGCTCATCTCAATTAAGTCAATTTAAAGACAAAATTTTAGTTTATGCTTTATATAGCACTAAAATAACATAGGGCTCCAACCGCATGAAATAATGGGGATTCAAAGTTACCATGGATGAAAACATATAACAGAGTCTGTATATCACTCTTTGTTTGCTTTTTTGATCATTTAAAAAAATGTTTCTCTAATGAGTCATAAATCCATAAGACTTTTCATATTGAATGGGCCTTAAAAACCACATCATAGACGTTTCTTCATTTAGAAATGATGAAATAATTGCAATGAAATACAATTTAAGAGATTAAGTGACCTTAAAATGAAATTCATCATCAAACACCTAATTTAGAATCTGAAAATAACAGTAACATAGAACACATACAGAGCGTTATTCCCTTCCTTACTCTCTCAGGTTTCAGACTATGTACTCATTGACCAAAGGAAGGCAGGGAAAACGATAATCAAGATGCACAAATACTGAAATACCAAAGCTTATAACCCACACAATATTAGATGGCTATATGACAAAGCTTTCAGGTTGACGTTATGTCAATTAACTGCCACTCTAAAGATATTTAAAAATAATAATGACAGCACTTTGCAGAAATGGTTACAGCCCTCTGGCATTATCTGGGAAAATGACCATTTATGGCTCCATCCAATGTCAACAATTCTACACGTAGCATGAGACATAACAAAACTATTTTAAGCTCCATTGTTGAGTAGAATGAATGTACCTCCCAGCCTTCAATGTGAGACTGCCATTCCTCTAAAACTTCTAACTTCTCCATCTGCCTCTTGGCCTCGTTTATGTTGGAACAGACAGCTTTCATGGCTTGGAGGGCTTCCATTACTGCTGCGTAGTCACTGTGTTTCCTTGGAGTCCGCTTCAGCAACTCCTGTTTATACACAAAAAAACAAATCGCCCTTTGATCTTCAGCTTTCTGGTACAGCAGGTTCAGAATGACCAGGAAATGAGAACTGCAGAGATCGTGAGAGCCACTTTCAGAAGGGACATCACAAACTCCACTAAAATTCAGATCAAAAACGAAAGGTTGAATCAATGAATATGTTACCCTGACACAAATTTTGCAGCTCCTTTAATTTTTTTGCCTTAAAATTATTTTGTTTTAAAAACTAAATTAGATTTCTCCTTTCGAATTGTCAAATATCTCAAGTGCAGCATGTAATTTGTTTATAAGATTGACCTCTGTTCCAACAGAAATAGAACTCTGTATGTCTTCCTAGACTCTTAGCAGAACAGTAAGTCTTTAAATAAATATGTCCCATAATTTCAAAAATAATTTCAATGCCTTATTTCCTAATACACTTTTGAGAAACTACAAAAACATGCCATAAGTAAAGCAAAATTTTTAAATAACGTCTTATACTCTAGCAAAATAAATAACTTACAATTTCCATGATACTCCATCACTAACGGAGCAATTTATGCTATTTTCACCAATAACTCGGTTTCACTTTCTGCAATGAATGAATTGCCATATGTCCCTCAATAGCTTTTTTTGTTGTTGTTTTGCTTTTTGGGGTTTTTTTGGGGCATTTTATGGTTTTTTTTCCATTCAGGATATCAGAGCAAGCGTGATCTTTAATCTTTT